AAGAAGTGTTGGGATTTGTCACCGGATTGTCGGGGGGGCTAGCTATGGGGCAGGCGGATTGCGCGGAGGGAATAGGGAGGGATATTTTTTTTTGAGACAAATAGGGAGGGATATATAAACCGCCTATATAAATTTTTTGGACCGGGCTTTGTTTATCAGATTTGTTCGGGCCGAAAAAAGTGGGATCCTGCAAAACGGTCAGAAATTTCAGCCCCACGTGCCTTTGCCGGATATGCTAGAGATGCTCTAACTAGTAAGGGTGTCTCCAACGCTGACCCTCAAACCACCCGCAATCGTCTGGACCGACTGGTCCATACGCATTTTGCCATCCAACGTGTTCCTGTATCGGTTCGCTCGGCGGTCCGGACGCACTTTCTTCCACAAACCGGAGACAAATTAGGGGGCTTTACGACCGTCCGAACCGCTGCCACGTCCGCTTCTGGCTGCCCGGCCCACCATTAAACCCCTCCCTCACCCGCGCGCGCTTCCCGCCTGAAACAGCTAGCACCGCTCCAGACTGCTAGTGCCGCATTCATGCCCGGCCAGACCGGACGTGACCTCTCACTACTGTTGGCATTGAAGCGGCATGCCGACTGAGAGAGTGCCGCCCGCGCCGCTTCCTGGTGCACGTGATTGCTCCGTGGCCAAATGACACCCCCGTCAATTCGTCGCCCTACATTAATGATATGCAGTTGCCGAGGAACCTACTCCAACGTCACCCATCCGTCCGTCTGCTGCCCACTATTAACCTCACCACGACGGCCCATTGCCATCCACCCGCTATGTAAGCTCTAGCCCCGGACATAGTCGCAGTCATCCTCCTTCGGTCCTTTTCTTCTCTCCGCACCACGCACGCCATGGCTTCCTGGTGCTCGAAAGCCCCTCTCGTCCAAGCAGAAGAAGGAGATGGCCTCCATTGCTTCCAGCTGGCATGTTGGCAGCCCAGAGGCCGTCGATGTCCCAATGGAGGACGCGGCTGAGGATGAGCTAGCACCACCCTCCTCGCCGGTGCATGCCGGCATCACCATCGGCGAGGCCCATGCCCACTACACGGACATGGTGCGGTAGGACCAGGAAGCCAAGTTCTCGCAGGCGCAGGCTGACCATGCCTACAACCTCGGCCTACCTCGGCGAGCACCAGCGCGTGGAGCAACTCGCCGTCGGCACGGCCATCGTGCCGGACGTGGACGTGGCAGAGCAAGAGGCGCTGCTCGACTCCTAACGCTCTGCCCTCGCCCGCTCGGGATACCGCCTCCATCAGGCGGAATTACATGCCACCTGCAAGGAGATGGACGAGGCGGCCGATGAGGTGTTCGGCAAGAGCGATGACGAGGAGGACATCGCCGGTTCCGTCTTGGCCACGCCCCGCGCCACGACCATGAAGCCGACACGTCCGCGGGGGCTGCCTGCAGCGAGGAAGTGTAGTGCATGGTAGGTCGCCGCCGCTCGGGTTCCAAGAAGGCCACCGCTTCTTCCCTCCCGTTGATGCTAAGCTTGACAGCGTGATCATGGTCGGCTGATTAGCTGCTCGGGCTGTGAAGGCAAAGCTGGAGACTGCCGAGGCGAAAGTGGAGAAGGGGAAGGCAAGAGCCGGAGCTTCACTTTGTGGGGCTCACAGCTGGACATGGGGAACGAGCATCGGCGGTCATTTAGATTAGGTTTAGAGTAAGTTTAGTATAAATTTGTCCAAAATGTAATGAATTTCGTCCGAGTTATATGAAAATCAGACGGTTTGCATGAATTTCGTCCGCTTAGTTGTAATGAACTTAGTCTGTTGCTCATTCATACCTTTCTAATATAGCCTTGTTATTACTTAACAGTGGGTGTTTCAAAAACACCTGTAAGCTTCCATTTCTACTGCTCCTCATGATCAATATACCTTATCCACTATATGTGCATACTTGTCATCCATATCATTTCCAAACCTTTAGAATCTCTAAAATCTTCTCCTGTAGAATACATATGTAAAAACAAAACGAAAGGAGAGCCACATTAGTCCAGAAAACTGAAGCAGTAGTACTTGGTTGCCCAGACTTACACATGGGTAGGCTGTCCAAGGATTGAAGCTATGAATGAAGCACCTTTAACGCATCGCTTTTAATGCACAGGTCCATGAACGTCAAGTGATTGGATTTTGCATGCCGGAAAAATAATTGAGCTTCAGACACAAGAAGACTAGCATTGGCTTGACTTGAGTGAATTGCAAAAAACCACCACATTTGGGGCTTCATCTCTGGAAACCACCAGGTCACTAATTTTTTTTGCAAAAATCACCGCGGATTCGGTAAACATTTTGCAAATCGCACTAATCAGGTGATTTGGCTCATTTGATCACTTTCTGACAAGTGGGACCAGATTGTAAGGAGCTGACTTGGCATAACATTTACATACACATCTAAAAAGAAAAAGCAATCAACACCTCTTTTGCACAACTGCCAGAGAGAGGAGAGGAGTAGGCGCTCCCCGACGAGGCCGACCTCGTCGGCGCAGAGGGCCGCGCAGTGGAGGAGGTCTCTGCGGAGAGCTCCTCGACGGTTCCGGCCGGGTCGGGCCCGTGCGCCGCCGCGCGGTTGGAGCCGAGCGGTTGCTCGGCCATGGCCTCGCGCTCATGCGCTGCTGTCCACGCCACGCACAGGCAGCGGAGGAGCTCACAGTCGTTGGTCACTGCTTGCTCCGGTGATGCGTCCGTGCTGCACGCCGCCGCGCCGCTGCTGCTGCTTGTGCTCCGTTGCTTGCTCTGGTGTTCTGCGCTGCCGCCGCTGCTTGCTCCGGGGCTGCGCGCCGCCGGCTGGGGAAAGAGAGAGGAGGGAGGAAGGAGAAAGGGAGGCGTGGGTGCATCGCCGTGCGACTTGGGGCCGCCGTGCTTGCTACCCAGGAGAGCAGCGGGGCCGGGGTCGTAGCAGCTTGGGGCGGGCCCGCGCGGGGCAGGGGCCAGGTCGTAGCCGCTTGGCGTCGGTCGGCGCAAGGGGTGGGGCCGCGGTCGTAGCGGCTTGGGGCCGGCTAGCACGGTGGCGGGGTCGCGTGGCGCTGCGGCGAGGTCGCCGGAGTGGCGCGGGGGTTGGGCAGCTCGGGGCCTCTGCCGATCCAGACGGGATCGAGGCAGGGGGGAGGAGGGTCTGATTGCTTTTTCATTTTACAATTCAGGGGTGTGTCTGTCAAAACTTTGCCAAGTCAGCTCCTTACAATCTGGTCCCACTTGTCAGAAAGTGATAAAATGAGCCAAATCACCTGATCAGTGCTATTTGCAAAATGTTTACCGAATCCGTGGTGATTTTTGCAAAAAATTAGTGACCTGGTGGTTTTCCGCAAACGATGCCCCAAATATGGTGGTTTTTTGCAATTCACCCGCTTGCTTGGATTGTCCACTGGCTGGCTTTTGAGATGGCTTGCATTCCCTGCTCTCTCTCCAAGACATTAAACTATTTTGACCATCTCATATCCTGAAGGGCACAAAAGTGTGAGTACATAATAAACTGCGATTTCCACAATACTTGCTATTGCAGGTGCTTGGCTGCTGGAATGATCGAAAAGAGACGGACAAGAATTTGCGCTGGTAATATAGCTGTTCCTTTGGATTGATGGATGCTCTGTCAAATTAATTTCCTGTTAGGTCTCTGTGCGTGTATAGCTTAGTTTTTTTGTTTTTTGGAGGGAAAGCTTAGTTTGTTGCTAGTGTGTTAGCTACTGTAATGCTAACAGTGGGTGTTTCCCAAACTCTTGTAAGCTCCCATTGCTACTGCTCCTCGTTCTCAAAATAAATCTACTGTATGTGCATGTGTCATTTCCAAACCGTCATTTCTCAAAATGCTATTCTAAAAGTGTTGCTATTCATGTCATTTCCAGACCGTCAGAATTTCTAAATCTCCTCCTATAGAATACCTTGATAAAAACAAGGAAAAAGAGACACGGTAAGGAACGTCCAATGGTTATATGGCTGTTGCACATGGTAGGCTGTTGAAGTCATTGCTATTTGTCATTGTGTGCATGCCACGGTACGAACTGCCAGTACCTTCGAAGTGCCAAAGCACCTTTAATGCATCGGGTCCATGAAATGTTGGATGTGCACGATACAGGTACAGTGCTTTCAATAATGCAGCATGTGGGGAAATAATTGAGCTTGAGCCACGGGAAGACTGGCATTGACTTGACCTGCAGGTACACTTGCTGCCTCTTGAGATGGCTTCAACAACAAGACTTGCTTGCATTCTCTGCTCTCACCTAGCCATGTCTCTGCTTTGGTGATTCCAGATACTGATGCAAGCCCACAAGAAGTAGGTCACTGCAGGTCCAGATCAGGCCAGGTCTACATCCATCACAGGTCAGGTTAACTCCTTGACTCTTGAACTTGCTTGCATTCCCCACTCTAACCCTGCAAGCCATGACACTGTTTTGGTGATTTCAGATCTTGAAGCAAGCGCACAAGGAGGATCTCTCACCAAATCCTTCCAGATCTACATCGACTTCAAGCCAGGTGCGCTCCCCTTAATTTGGTTGTGTTCCCAGTTCTCTTGTCAATATCCTAGGTACGTAGATAGGTCGATGCAAAACTAAGAAGTTTCCCTGGCCATTACAAGCCAGGTATGTGGTGGTTCTCTGGTTTTGACGGGTAAAAGAAACAAGGAGAACTTGAAGATCAAATCCAGCTACTTGTCATCGGTTACATGAGGATTCAGGATCTCAATGATTAATCTTCAATGACAACAAGACCATGAAGTCTCTTATTTTTGGAGAAGACTCTGCTGGTGCTTTCAGATTCAGAACTGCACAAAGAGCTTACCAAGATAAATCAGATCTAAGCTATTACAAGGCTGCAGGTGTGTCCTCCTTCCCTAGTTTTCGGCTATCTTAGGTAGCACTCAGAACAATCTTCCTCTGCGCAATCAAAATAATCCACTTATGTTGTATCTGTTGAAGTTGGCCAGACCCGTATACTGTGTGAGTAATGCATTGTGATTTCTTCCAGCAACATAATCACAATAAAGATTTCTTGTGGAAGAGGGATGATCTTCTTAATTTGTGATGGCACCAATGTCTGGCAAGCTGGCATGTATGTATGTTCAGGTTGTAGTTGCCATCCATTGTTTTCCTTGGATTCACAAAATATCTGGAACTAATCTGTAGCGTTGTTGTTGATAATACTCGTTACTGGTGACATACTTACCACAGCATGGGCAATTGGGCATATGCTCTTGCATTGATGACACATTAATATGTGAATTTCTACCCTCCTAGAGCCAATATTCTTGCTGTGTTAGGATCTCCTAAAGTGAACATGATGTCTGCTTTTAATTGAAGTTGTTGTAATCATGGTAGAATATATTGATTTGTGCTATAATGATTCCTATGACACTACAGTTTTGCTTTCACATTCATTTCTTGATTGCATTATATTTTTTGTCTTGTATCTGACTTAACAACTTTAGCTATTTAATAGGTTATGTGTACGCGTCATCCAATCCTGTTATCACCCGGTTGTTTTTGGGCCTTGTCGTCACCTTGTAAAACATTTCGAACTTTTTCTACGCCACTTTTGAAAAGATGGTTCTGTGCATCAAATGATGCAGATGCCGGGGGTTTAACCTCCTTTCTAGAAAAGATAAACAACAACTTTTGCTATTTGTTTCCTGGAAGTAGAATAGGTAGATTGGCAAGCTGACAGGTATGTAATGTCAGATTGGTTTCCTCTTTGACTTGGTTCAGATTTGAACATTTGAGGCATTTAACCTGATATATCCCTATATGGCAGAGGAACATGTATGCACAGTTATCTGGTTAAGTGTCACTGCTCTTGTTAGTTAATAACACCAAGTTTGCTGCATTGACTGTAACAGAGTCCCTATTCTCAAAAAAAAAAGACTATAGCAGAGTCCCAAGTGTTTTGAGGTGCTTCTCGAAAGAACTGCTTTGTTTGGTCATGTGTGTTTAAATTAGATAGGTTAACAATATGAAATAAGACTTGAGAAGGATTGCTTGGAAAGATTCTGCTTATTTCACTTTTCTACTGTGGCTGGAGAGTTTTGAAGTGTTATGGCAAGTGTTGGGTGAGTTTTGAAGTGTTTCGGCAACTGCTTGGCTGTAGCAGCATTCACTAAATGTTTAATTAACGCATTACTTCATTTTGCAGTGTTCAGTTTGATAATATCAAGGAGAATATACAACTAGGCCACCACCCAGTGAGGCATTAATAGTTCTCAAAATAATGGCAGAGATTGTGATTCTTCTAGCTATTAAAAAGATCGGAATTGCCTTGGCAAAGGGAGCGGCAGACCAGGTCAGCGTGCAGTTTGCAAAGTATGGCACGCAGCTACTAGAGCTACAGGCCAGCATGGGCCGTATTGCCAGAGAGCTTCGCGTAATGCATGATGTACTCTGTCAAATGGACATTCGAAACTGCAACAATCAAGTATACGAGGGTTGGTTGGAGGAGGTACAAAAGGTAGCACATGTGATGGAGGACATGGTGGATGAGTACTTGTATCTAGTTGGTCAGGAACATGATATCAGTTTTTTCTTTTTCCTGAAGAAAGATTTCAAGAAGCCAAGATCTCTGCTTTCTTTGAAGAAGATAGCTTCCAAGGTGAAGGAAATAGAGAAAGACCTTTTACATCTATCTGAGACAAAAAACCGTTGGGTTCCCATGATAAATAATGGAGATAGTAGCAACTCAAATTACATTATCAAGAGATCCCAAGATCTAGTAAACATTTCACGCTCCCTTGATGATGAAGATCTGGTGGGGATGGATAAAAATAGAGAAAAACTCGAGGAGTGGTTAGCAGGTGATGACCCGGAACGCTCTGTGATATCTGTGCTCGGAATGGGAGGTCTTGGTAAAACTGCTTTAGCTGCAAATATATACAAGAAGAAGAGGGATAAATTCCAGTGCCACGCCTGGGTCTCCATCTCTCAAACTTATTCTGCGGAAGATGTCTTGAGGAAGATAATCAAGGAACTTTTTAAAGATAATGTCAGTGTTCTATCTAGCACTATGGCTATGGACATCATGAGCCTTGCAGAGACACTGAAGAAATATCTGGAGCAAAGGAAGTATTTGATCATACTGGATGATGTTTGGACTCCAGAAGCATTTGATGATTTGTTTAGGACAATTCCTCATAATGATAAGGGCAGTAGGCTGATAATCACAACACGGGAAGGCGATGTTGCTGCACTTGCCTCTCAAGGACATATGTTAACACTTGAAGCTTTACCAGAAGACAAGGCATGGGACCTCTTTTGTAAGAAAGCCTTTCCAAGAGATACAAATCATGAATGTCCTATTGGGTTGATGCCATTGTCCAAGGAAATAGCTAGCAAGTGCAAAGGCTTGCCTCTTGCTATTGCCTCTGTTGGTAGCCTCTTGCGCGTGCATGAGAAAACCGTGGAAGAATGGAAAAGAATAAATGACCAACTGAGCTGGGAGATAATTAATAATTCAAGATTCGACCACATAAGGAATGTTTTGCATCTAAGCTTCATATACCTTCCAACACACTTGAAAAGTTGTTTCTTGTACTGCAGTCTATTTCCAGAAGACTACCATTTCAGAAGGAAACAACTTTTATGGTTATGGATAGCAGAGGGGTTCATCGAGGAGAGGGGTGAAAGCACATTAGAAGAAGTGGCAGAAGGCTATCTGAAGGAGTTGATTGACAGAAACATGCTACAACTAGTTGAGAGGAACACATTTGGTAGGACGAAGGAATTCAGAATGCACGATATCTTACGTGAATTAGCAGTGGACTTGTGCCGGAAGAACTGTTTTGGTGTTACGTATGAGGATAAATGTGGGGGGCATCTTCAGAAGATTGGGCGTCGATTGGTACTACACAAACTAAAGAAGGATATTCAGCAACCATTTTCCAACATGCACCAGCTTCGAACTGTCATCACACTGGAGGATAACATGCGGTCATTCACTCTACTACCTCTGCTATGTAAGGAGTCAAGATGTATGACGGTGCTAGAATTAAATGGTCTACCCATGGATAAGATTCCTGATGCTATTGGAGATCTTTTTAATGTCCGCCATTTGGGTTTGCGTGATTCAAAGGTGAAGATGCTCCCGGAGTCTATTGAGAAGCTTTCATATTTGTTGACACTGGACCTTTGTAGATCTGACATACATGAGTTGCCAGGTGGGATTGTGAAACTGAAGAAGCTCAGGCACTTATTTGCTGAGAGAGTAATTGATCCAAACTGGAGAGAGTTCAGATGTCGCAGTGGTATGTGTATCCCTAGTGGGCTTGGAAATCTAACAAACTTGCAGACACTACAAGCATTGGAAGTACAGGATGAGTCTCTTAGACATTTAGGGGAGCTGAGACAACTGAGAAGCTTGAGATTATGGAATGTGAAAGGAATCTACTGTGGACGCATCAGTGAGTCTCTAGTTCAGCTGCAGTGTTTGTCCTACCTAGATGTGAATGCAAGTGATAAGAACGAAGTTCTCTTGTTGAATGTCTGCCTGCCAAACCTGCAAAAGCTATATTTGAAAGGACAACTAGCGGAAGGGGCGTTGGACGAGTCTCCTCTCTTCCAATATGTGGAGGGGCAGAACTTTTATGAATTGGAGCTATATTGGTCACAGCTGAGAGAAGACCCCCTGCCATCTCTTTCTCGGTTGTCAAATTTGACGCAGCTACGCTTCACCAGAGCATACAGTGGAGAGCAGATGACATTTCTCACGGGTTGGTTTCCCAAGCTAAAGATTCTTTTCCTAAGAGACCTGCTTAATTTGAATCGGCTGGAGATACAGCAAGGTGCCTTGGTGAGCCTGGAGAAACTATTTTTAGGCAACCTAAGCAGCATGACAGAGGTCCCACCTGGCATTGAGTTCCTCATGCCCCTCCAGTATCTATGCTTCGAAGAAATCACAAAGGACTTCTTTACTGTGCTGGACCAATGTTCTGCTATTCAAGGGAATTGGTGGTATATTTTCCGAGATTGACATGCCACACTGGTCAGGAGACGTGCAAGTACGTGAGTTATAGCCATCTGCCAACCAGTACCACTACTTCAACATGTTGATCTGATCCAATGTTGGTTATGCAGGTGACCAGCCGGAAGGAAACATGAAGATGCTTCATTATTTTGGTCTGCATGCAGATCAATGGAAAAGAAGGATTGGGTCCAATGCATGAGTTGTACAATGCATCTCGATGCACAATGAGTTTTCTCTGTTTTTTCAAGACATATCGCTACTGGGCTTGTCAAGTGTGATACAGTTGTCTGTTGATTTATTCCGGCTGTGGCTTTTAAGTAGCACGTCATGCACTTATTGTAAGACTGCAAGTGAGCTGCTCTTCATGCAGATTGATTTCCAGTTGTGTGCTTGTTCCGAACTATGTACTATTATTGGGGCGTGTGTGTGCTTGTTGATAAACTTGTAGATGCATTTTGCATCTGTTCGGCTATTTCAGTTGTGGCTACTAAATGAGAACACTTGGTTTGTGGCTCACAATGTTCAGATATTCATTTTATAGTCATCATGGTTACTGCCTTCAGGTTTTGTTCATTATAACCATGTAGTCCTAGTTGGGACGATACTTGAAATGTTGTCAGCTAGCCTTGTTCTGTTCTGCTCATCAGTGCAGACTATTTCCATTCTGGGTTTATAATTTTCATCAACACAAGAGCTAAACTTATAGCAATTATTCAGATATTGATGTTTATACAGGGAAATAAATGTAGATGCTTTTGTTAGCTGGTATTACAGCAGAAACGAGACGGTTACTCGCCGGCGACCGGAGACGGGAGGAGAGTGTGGCGGCGCTGGGATCTTTCCGGCCGGAGAGGAGAGAAGAGGAACACTCGGGAGATTCGGAGGAGCTGGTTACCCTAGCGGGCCGGGAAAACTGTTCGCATGATCTCTTTTTTTGCTTTCTCTTTTTCTACGAAATACAAAAAATTTTAACAAAAATTCATGGAGTTGGGAAAAATGTTCGTGAATTCATACCCTATTTACTCCCACCCCGCGGGGTGGGGCTAGTCTCGCCCCCGACATTTGGTCGGGTGCGCAATTGGTCTCGGCAGAGGCCAATGCGGCATTAGTTGCCCCTTTTGTCGAGGACGAGGTCCTCACAGCCATTAAGGGGATGAACCTCTCCTCGGCCCCGGGTCCTGATGGCCTGCCCGTGACATTCTTTAAAATGTTCTGGCCTACCATCAAGCTGGAGGTCATGGCTATGTTCGAAGAATTTTATTCGGGCTCCATGGACCTTGGGCGCCTCAATTACGGGATTGTGACCCTCATCCCCAAGGTCCCGGGCGCCTCGGTCATCCCCCAGTTCCGCCCAATCACAGTGATTAATATGATTTTCCGGATCTTGGCCAAAGGGTACGCCAATAGGGTGACCCTCCTCGCTGACACGATTACACATCCGAACCAATCCGCCTTCATACAAGGTCGATTTATTCTCGATGGAGTGTTAGTATTCCACGAGGTCCTCCACGAGGTCCGTCTAAAATGCCTTCGCGCGGTCTTCCTAAAGCTAGACTTTCACAAAGCCTACGACACGGTACACTGGCCATTCCTGCGTGAAGTGTTGCTTCGCAAGGGCTTCGACGACCGTTGGGTGACCCGCGTCATGCAGCTTGTCTCTTGTGGCCGGACCGCGGTGAACATCAACGGTGACATTGGGCCCTACTTCCCTACCCTTTGTGGGGTCCATCAGGGTGACCCCTTCTCACCGTTCTTGTTCAACATGGTGGTCGATGCCCTGGCATCCATCTTGGATAAGGCCAAGGCTGCTGGTCATATCCACGGCTTAGTCCCCCACCTAGTCGGAGGGGGAGGGGTCTCCGTCCTTCAATATGCGGATGATACCATTATAATGGTCGAGGGATCCGCCCTAGATATCACTAACTTGAAGTTCCTCCTCCTGTGCTTCCAACAAATGTCGGGCCTAATCATCAACTTCGATAAGAGCGAAGTGATGGTCCTCGGGTACCCCTTGGAGGAAACACAGGCTATTGCTGACCGACTAAACTGTCGGTTGGGTTCTTTCCCCACGACCTATCTGGGGATCCCCATTAGTGACTCGTGCCTCACCGTGACTGATCTTCGCCCCACGGTGACCCGTATGCAACATCGCGTTGAGCCCTGGAAAGGGCGCTGGCTGTCGAAGGCTGCTCGCGTGATCCTTATCAACTCTTCGCTTGCTAGCCTCCTTTGGTTCCTCGTGAGCTTTTATAGCCTACATGAAACCCTGCACCAGGAGATCGCCAAATACCAATCCAGATTCTTCTGGGCTGGGGAGGGGGGTAAGCAGAAGTACCACATGGTTAGCTGGCCAGATATATGCAAACCCAAGGACCAGGGCGATCTTGGGATTTTGTCCTCCCGGTGCATGAACATTGCCCTCCTGACTCGTTGGCTCTGTCGCATTGCCAATGGAGATGGAGGTCTCTGGCTTACTATCATCCAGAACAAGTACCTGCGTGGGCAGCCTCTCGCATTCTGTCAGCGCTCAGGCGGCTCCCAGTTTTGGCAGGCCGTTGTCCAGTTGCTGCATGTTCTGCGCATTGGCACATCCATCTCGGTGGGTACTAGGTCCTCGCCCCTGTTCTGGCTTGATAGGTGGCTTGGCGACACCCCCCTAGCCGCGCGCTTCCCAGTTCTCTTCGACATCGTTGTTGACCCTCGGGTCTCTGTCGAGACGGCCCTTATTGACTTAGGGCGCCTCGCTTTCCGCCGCCCCTTTGGCCCCCTTGAGGTTGCAGCTTGGGATGCCCTCCTCCAGGACATCGCACTCCTTCCTATAGACGTTGCCAACTCCCCGGACGTCATCTCTTGGCGACTGGAACCCTCCGGCTGTTTCTCCACCAAATCCCTCTACGCCGCTATCGCCCCATCGATGGCCCCCGAGCCCTTCAGTTTGATTTGGGACATCCGCCTGCCCCTGAAGATCAGGATCTTCGTGTGGCAATGGATCCGCGGCCGCCTCCCGTCCGGAGTTGAGGTCCTTAAGCGTCATGGACCTGGAGATGGGATGTGCCCCATGTGCGGCACGGTAGAGGATGCCAACCACATCTTCTTCTTGTGCTACACGGCACAGTTCCTCTGGTCCTGTTTCCGCGAAACGGTTGGGGGCCAGTGGTGCAACACCAACTTCCCTGACCTGCTTGCGGAAATTCAGGCCTCACCCTCTCGCTACAAGCATATTAGATGGCTTTGCGTGGGGGTCCTTGCCTGGACGTTGTGGACTGTTCGCAATAAGCTTGTCATACAGAAGGTGCCTCTTCGGCGTGCTATCGACTCCATTTTTAAAATGTGTGGTTACTTGCAGCTCTGGCGGCACCTTAGCCGCCCTCAGGACCGGGACGTCATCAGCACCCTCCTCGCCGACCTTCGATCGATGGCCTTCCGCTTGGCGTCCCCGCTCCCTCCGCCACCCCCGGAACCCGACTAGATGCTGTGTCACTCCCGGCGCGTGTGCCTTTTTATTTTTCAGGGCTTGTTGAGCTGTGCCCTCAGCATTAACCCTTCCACTACTTATCTGTCTGGATCTTGCATGTGTGTGTGTGTGTGTGTGTTTGTGTGCTTGCACCTTGTTGGTTGTTGGCTTGGGCATTTGATTTAATATAAAGCGGGGCGAAAGCCTTTTTCGGTATTTTTTTTGCGATATCCAAAAAATGATCGGGATTTTGAAAAACAATGTAAAACAGGTTCACAAATTAAGAAAATGTTCGTGAATCTGAAAAATGTTTTTGAATCTAAAAAAAATGTTAGCGAGCACTGATTTTTTTAGAAAATTGACTCATAAAATATGAATGAATTCAATAAACGTTTGTGGATTGAAAATTGTTGTTAATTTTAAAAATCTGTGACTTTGAAAAAATGTTCGCATGTTTGAAAGTGATTGGCAATTAAAAATATGTTTGGAATTCTGGAGATGTCAAAGAATTTAAAATAGTTTCGCAGATTGAAAATATCTTCCAAATTTCAATTAACGTAGTTCATAACTTTTTTAAAGAGTTCAACATGTCAAAATTTGTTCCTGAAATTAAAAAATGTTTATGATTCTAAAACATGTTCACAAAGCATTTTAATTTTAGAATTTTAAAATGGGAAAAGGAAAAGATGAAATAAACCAGAAAAAGAACATACTTGGACTGACCCAATATCTCTATGTAGCGACCACATGGTGCATGTTCTAGAACCTTCCTAAAACTGAAAGATCTTTCTACTTCGGTCGACCCGATATCTGCGTTTAGTGATCACAAGGTGCGTGCTTGGTCGATAAACATTGACCTACGCGTAGAATAGGATTTTCCTTCTTATTGCTTAGTGTGGCCACGAGACCATATGGGTTGAGGTCAAGCTCTGTTCGGTTCAGTTTTTATCGATGGATTCCGCTGCCGCGCAGCAGAATCTAAACCAAAGGGCAAACCCAGTGGAATACGATTCCAGAAATTCGCTGCCAAAATCCGAACCAAAAGCGGAAGCAGCCTAGGACGTGCTTTTCCAAAATCTGATTCCGCTGCGGACCAAAATCTAAAAAAGCTATATCAGCTGGTTTGCCAAATGACCTACATCTTTTTCACATCAGATTTTCCATAACAAATTTTTCACAACTGCTTTTAGAAATCCACAGCTAAACCAAATAGGGCCATAACTTAGAAGAGCCCGTAAAGGCTGCCAACCACTGAAATTTTGGTTTAAGAGAGCTCAAATAGATAACCATGTCTTGTTTCCGTTCCTTTCTCCTCGGGCTCCCTCTTCCTTCGCAAATCAACCTTAAAAAAATCCTTTGCTAGTCAACTTAATGCTGAGACTTGGGTCGTGCTCTTTTGGGCCGGCGCAAAGCACAAACAAAATTTTAGTAGGTTTAAAAAAATCTTATGAATATGTTTCAAAATTCCAAAAAACATTTGGATCCAAGAATTCGTTTTCTAATTCATGTTTTTAAAATTGGAACATTGTATTCAAATTTTTAAATTTGTGATTTCTTCTAAAAAATATGGAAAATTGTTTAAAAAATAAATTTGTGTTTTTTTGAATTCTCAAACATTGTATTAAAAAAATTAAAGTCGTGATTTTCTTGAAATTCCAAA